GAAAGTCGAGATGGTCGTGTGGATAGTTGGCGAAATTTCCAAGCTAACACAAAGGGGAAGAAAGAGAAGAAAAATCGGACCTTCCTTAGACCACCAAAAGTAAAAATGGAGCAACGTGAGTGACCACCTGAGGTCACAGCCACAGAACCTTTCTCCAACTGCTCCCCACTCCTGCTTTGAAGGACTCATTCTTTCTTCCCACCCATACCCCAACATAGAGTAGTATTTGCTTTTTAGTCCATTTTGTTTTAATACAATTTAATATCAATCAGAATAATTCTTTTGTACATTGAAATGAGGGGATTGGTTTAAAAAAATAAAGGCCTTCCCCACTCCCTACCCCCAGAGTCGCCAGGAAAGGAAGGTGCCATCCCCCATGCTCCTTCTGTTCCCACAGCCGGTAACTTCATGTTTTGTACTTCACTGAATTGTGATGGTTAGAAACTTTGTGTATAGTTTATGGAAATCAGCCAATTAAACATGTTGCTTAAAATGGTGTTGCAGTGACTTCTGAGACAAGCCTGGACGTCTTAGGAAGCCCTTTTGTCTTCAGCTGCTTGCTTCTGGGCATGGCATCTTTTGACGCCCCAAGTCGGACAGGGAAGGCGGTCACTCAATGCCCTGCCGCCCCTCCTAATCTGACTGATGAATCAGCGTGGCACCAGGCTCAGAGCTACCCAAACCTGTTCCCTTTCCAAAGAGCCAGCTGTCCTCTCTCCAGTACCATTGTGTCCTAGCCTGTCTGTATTCATTAGTAGTAAAACTCTGTATGTGGAATAAAGTTTTATACCCCTGGGTAAAAAAAAAAAAAAAAGATTTCTTAGATCCCTGGGTGGCAAAAAAGAAAAAAAAAAAAAAAATAAGTTGAAGGCTGTGTGGACAAATGAAATGTCCAGTTTTTCATAGTCCCATGTGGTTCTGAATGACATCCAAAGATGGCAAATTCTGTTAGTCACCTTCTCAAAAAACTTGTTTGTAATTATATTCCCTTACTTCTGGAAGCCGCGTTTACTTGGATTCAAGGTGGTATTTTTTAGAAATTATGCCTGACCTTATCTGATATTGGGGGAAAATGTGCTAGATCATTCAGTAGGATGTTTACTTACACCAGAGGAGTTAACTGCCATTCATCTTAAAACATGACCCCAGTTTGCAGATAAAAGGTATCATTTCTGTGATCATTTCTGCACAACTCAAGGAATCAAACTCAACCCTCCAAGTCAAGAGAAGACAATATGCCTTTCTGTCTGATTTCACTCTGGGATGCAAAAGCTCTACAATACAGTCAGTTTTCACTTTGCTAGAAATAATAAAACCAATTGCAGTCAAGTGGGCTCTGTCTCATGGCGCCACCATGAGTGTCTGAATCGAAGTCCATAGGGTTTCCAATCACCGATGTTTTGGAAATGGATCTTCAGGTCATTCTTTCAAGGCTCCTTTGAGTGACCTTGCACCTCCATCCTTTGAGTTAGCAGCCACACACATTAACCATTTGCATCACCTAGGAACTTGGACTTAAATGTGCTTTGGCCCAAGGAGGTGAATCTGGACAACTAACAAGAAAAACCTAAACATTCCTGAAGTGAATTGACAAAGGATAGAAAATGGTAGCTCAGCAAACAATGGCAAGATAACCCCAAATTTTAGGTGATATGAATCTGAAAACTTCTGATTTGATCCAGCCCAGAAGGAATTCCACTTGACAGCAGGCATATTGACATTGGAATGACCTATGGAAAAATCGTGTTTAATAGTTTTACATGAAATGACTCTGCTCACCCCTGAAGGGAAGATAATTTATAACAGCTCTTGTTTAATATCTCTTGTCCTCTTCAGAACAATGGGGTCGGCACCCTATGGGTGTGGCAGGTTCTGGGGCCTCTGAATGGGGTCGTGGAACTGCCCACTGCAAAGCACAGAGGTTACCTATGTCCTCTGTTGGCGGAGTTTGTTTTGGCACCATAACCTCCAGGAACTGGAAGAATTATTATGTTGGGGTATCTATGGGGAATGATAGATGATTTCCTAATGGTAAAAAAGTTCAGAATTGGTGCCTATTCTTTTTTTTTAAGTAGAGAGAGTTTGTACACTTTCTCCTTCAATTTCCCCTTCATTACACTGGACTGATGATTCTAACAGAACTCCTTAAGCATTACAATTTGATGGGTTAGGTCACCTTTTAGAGAGTGGAGGCAGTTTCATGAAATCTACAGTACTCAGTCTTGAAGTTCAGATTCTGTTCGGCTATGTCATTTCCCAGCTCTTTCTGTGGATCTAGGCACATGCGAATCTTCTTCAAGTCTTGGTATTCTTGGCTGAGAAGTGGGTATATATATATATAACCTACATATCTTGCAGGCTTGTTATGAAGGGTAACTCCAGTAATACATACATAAAAGGACTCACTTCTGGAGTGCTTCGGCTGAGTTAGAATGTAGGAGAGGCGGGGATCAAGCTGGTTCTAGAATATTCTCTAGAGCTGCAAGATTGAGAAGGGGGAATGACAAAGCCACATCCAGGTGAAATGATTGCTCTCAGCAAGGAGTCCCAGCCTCCACCTCCCTTCTTGCCCTACCCACCCCCGCTTACAGGGTTATGAAGTGAGGACCCCAAGGCTCCTCAGGGTCCAAGGAGGCCTGACCAATTCCACTGTGATCCCAGGAGAGCATATTGGTAGTACTTGTATGGTCTCAAAGGAGAGAGAATCCTGGTTTCATTACAGGTTTCTCCTGCTGTTCCGAAGTGGAGAGTTCCTGTAAATTGAAATGGTGTGAAGCGAAGAAGCAATTACCCTGAATGCATACAGGGAAACAATTTTGAGCATATCAGACTTCCCACAAGCATACCAAGAACTACATAAAATAGCTCTTGCATATGGTGCTCACAGACAGATTTGGAAGCTATGGCAGTTGGATGCTGCGATGCTGAGTGTAGTTCCTGGGGATGGAGCCTGGGGGGGCCACTTGCTGCTCAGTGCGCACTCTGCTTCTCACGGATCACTGCAAAACAAACACTGAATGCTAGTGTTGATTTTTGCCTTTTTACGTAAGAGTGAAAATCCTTTTCAAATTTATTTCAGAGAAAACAAGTAGGTCTTTCATAAAAGCTAAGTGGTGTAAAGCAAACTTTTGAAAAGTGGGGGATACCTGTATGTTCAGTCTGAGAAAGCTGAAGTTGCTCTGACATTAGCATCTTGTCCCCATGGATAACAAGATGAGGGGTTGTTGTGCCCCCAGGAGGATTCTAACGGACTGAGGGGAAAGATGAAGGCTTGGTTATCCTCTGTTCTCTCTTACATCTGCAGATGCAGGCTCAGGATTCGACAGCGATGTGTTGATGCCCACAGAGGAAGCCTATGTCGTCTATGATGAAGGTGTGACTGATTTTTTAAACACTACTTTGAAAATGTCTTTGTGAGAGAATTGAATTTCATTTAAGACATGATCTTTACTGCTGTTTCCTCAGAAGCCTGGGCTTGGTGGCCAGGGACCATGCCAAGGACTAGCTGAGGAAAAAGAGGCTGTTCCCCCACTCTTCTATGTAACCCCCAAATACAGCTGCTTGATATGCAAGTGAAGTCTCACCACCCCATCTCCCCACTCTCTTCCTCCAAAGTCCTCCTTTCAGGAAATTTTGGGGTCTTGAACCTCTGAGCTGCCTCTTCCTTCTCTATCTGAAGATATTCTGACAAACGCCTCAGCTTCTTCCCTGTCTCTTCCCATTCTCATGTGTTCCTTTGCTCCCTTTGTGTAATTACCTTAAAAGGATGATACTGGAGATAACTTGCTATGGTACATAGCAATTTTATAAGTTTATAAGATGGTAGCGGTTGTGTGCTGTTTTGTCATTCACAATTCATAGCGACCCAGTACAGTGTTTCCAAGGTTGTAAATCTTTATGTGAGCAGAAAACTTCATCTTTTTCCCATTGATCAACTGGTAGATTCGAACTGATGACCTTAAGGTTAGCAGCCCAACTCATAATCCACTGTTACCAAAGCAACTGGCAATTTATGTCCCTGGTGGTACAAATAGTCAACTTGCTCAGCTGTTAACTGGAAGGTTGGAGGTTTGAGTCCACCCGGAAGTGCCTTAGAAGGAAGTAGGCTTGGCTGGCAAATGACTTTAGAAAAATTCACCATTAAAAATCCTACTCTGACACATATGGGGTTGTCATGAGCTGAAGTGAGCTCTACAGTAGTTGGAATACTGTTGTTGTAATTCCTATCCTCTTGTGGTTTCGGTTTGTGTGTTTTATCAGTTGACCTGCAGTTGAAGAAATCTGTGTAGAAATGCTGTCTCCAGCCCAGGGCTTGCCTCTCACCCCTGGAACTTGGTTGTTCGCACTTGTGAGATTTGGCTTGCCTGTTGTTATCCACAGCTTTAAGGTCTTAAACGACAAGTGTTTGGATAAAAGCCACATTTGACACAATTAGAGCAAAAGTTGGATGTAATGGCTTAGTCCCAAGGGTGTCAAATAGAAAAGGACTAAAAAGGAAAACAGCAGGTGTCAGAAAGCAAAAGAAGGTTAATCACCTTGAAAAATGCCAGTTGTTAGTTGCCATCTAGGTGGCTCAGACTCATGGAGACTTTATGTTTAATGGATGAAACGTTGCCTGGTCCTGCAGCCATCTTCATGATCTTTGATAGTTTTGAGTTCATCGTTTGCAGTCATTGTGCCATTTCAACTCACAGACAGTTTCCCTGCTTCGTGTTTCACTGACCAAACTTGACGCCTTTTTCTTCCGATATTGGTCTTTCCTGATGACGTGTCCCAAGTAAACGAGTTGATGTGTTTCCATCTTGTGTCTTGAAAATGCTAAGTACCATTTAAAAATTGTCTTTGAGCACTTGAAAGGGGAGCAGAGATTCAGTTTCCTTTTTAAGTGTTCAAGGATTCATTCTCTTAGCAGAATTCAGCCCTGAAAAAAGGCATAGAAGAAAGTCAAGAAAAAATATCCCAAGCTGTCTGTCTTCTGATGGGAATCTTTTATGATTCTAAAAGGGAAAATGATCCAGGTGGAGAATGGTCTTGGACCAGTGACATAAGAGCTTGGACGTGGATGAGTTAGTTCTAAGGTCCCCAGCTCAGATCCCAATGACTAATGTTTCTGGTTCTCAGAGTTTCCTTGTTCCTTCCTCTCACTCATGTGCAGCTGCTCTTCTGAGTGACCTGAAATGGGCAAAATGCTATTTTATTAGAAGCAAATGATGTGTAGTCCTAGCATGTGTTTTAGTTTAACATTTTGTTTGGATTTTTCCTTTTTAAATCTAGATTGGAATCTTAAAAAAAGATGTCTTTTGCCAGAAAATAGCATTGCTTTTCTGGAAATGCCCGATTATAAAACCATCATACTGTTTTTCAGATTACGAATTTCAGACTGTGAGCCCACCAACCACTACCAAACCCTCAACGACCACAGCCATACCGAGCATCATTTCACCAGAGGGGTCTGTCAGCTCCTTCCCTGAGGAAGAATTCGACCTGGCTGGAAAAAAGCGATTTGTTGGTAAGTATGGTGTGGCATTGTCAGATAAGCATTGGGCTGCTAACCAAAAAGTTGGTGCTTCAAACCCACCAGCTGCTCCATGGAAACCGTATACAGGGTTACTGTGAGTCGGAACCCACTTGATGACACATAACAACAATAGCTTCCTTAATAAGAGACACATCAGTGGTTCACTTCTGCTGTTGGGTGCTTTGAAAGAGAAGAGCATTATGGATCTCTTGGTCTAGCATTCTAAGAGTAAGTTTTCCTAGATTGTCATTTCCATTGGGGTTGGCCCAGTGGGTCAGTGCTATTTAGATGCCTATTAACTTGCTTTCTTCCAAAGTCAAAGAGGGGAGAATGCTGGAGGGCACTCTTTTTTTTTTTTTTTTTTAATTAAATGTTTTTATTTTGGATTGAGTGAAAGATTACAGGGCACATCATCAGCTTCACATTCAACCATTCATATAGCTTGTTTCATTAC